TGATGCCGAAGTCAGAGCTTCTGAGCCAGCCCCCTGAGGGCACTGGGGGCTGAGTGGGAAGCTGGACAAGAAGCTGGGGAGGCATTTCTTTGTTATAATCAGGAGAGTGTGGGACACATCCTCTACTATTTGGCCTGATCCTCTGTACCTGGATAGAAACCTGGAGACTAGAATTATGACCAACCTCCTCATCCCCCATCTCTTTCTTCTCTAGAAAGTATAGACACTGCAGGTTACCCACCAGGCACCAGGCCAATAACCTCAGTGGCCCCTGGAAATGCCTTGTCCAGAGATATAGGTCCCTGAGAAATACCTGAGAGTGCGGGTATGTGTGCGTGCATGTGTGTGTGTGTGTGTGTGCATGCATGTGTTGGGGGAACAGGGCTATTCTGTTCCAAGCCTTACAGACGTGGTCCATTAATAATAAACTCTGCCATGGCTTGTAAATTTATTAGGAGAAGCTGGTGTAATTAAAATTCAGAGTTGGGGGAGGGGGAGCAGAGAGCCTTTGCTTCCATTCCTTCTTTCAGAGATCCAGGCTGAACTACCGATGGGGATAATTAGCAGAGTCCAAACAGAGAAGGAATTAATGCCCCTGAAAAGCTTCGATGAGGAGAGACAATGCTGGGCTAATTATGGCCGTACCAGCTTTATGACTGGGCACCAGCTTCCACCATCATTAGGGGATTCAGAGATAAATCGGAGACTAATGTGGAGTGCTGTAGCTAACAGAGCATTGGCATTAATTTAGCAATTATTAGTATTATTATTTTGGAAGATGGTAACTGTACGTTTATGGCTGATTAGTCAGGGCTTGGGGTCCCTCTGAGATGTGGACATCAAGGCTGGGGTGATGGTGGAGAGGAGCAGACAGAGAGCCAGAAAGATTCTTTCCCTCTACACGCCCCCTTCCTGTTTACCCCTGCAAGGACTGAGAGGAGAGGTCTGTCCGGGCCCACATGAGCAAGAAAAACAGATCGGCAATAGAGAGAAGGGGGAGATGAGACAATGTTGTATACCTAGAGCGTCCACAGCAGGATATCTTGCTCACCTCCACTTTCAATGCCCCCTCAGATGAAAATTCCTAAGTGTGGCTGGTTCAGTCCTCTGGTGCTCAGAGACCTCTTTTCCTAAGCAGGACCAGCAAGGGTGCCACCTAGCTTGGGCAGGACTTTCTCTTACCCTGTTTTTTTCCCCCACTCCAGACAGCCTTACACAGATCCTAAAGAAACCTGGCTGGGTCCAGATGTCTCAGTCTTAGTCCTAATTTTCTGCAGCCACATGTTATACCTCCAACTGTGTGGACAGAGTAACAGAACAGTTAGAACATGTCTTCTCTGTACAGAGCCTGGAGGGGATGATCTACCATTCCACTCTTAAAGTTCCCACAGACAGAGGTAGAAGAAAACTTCTAGAACTGCAAATCCAAGCACTGTACAGCTCCTAGATACTTTACCCTAGTTCTAGAATCTTAAAGTTGAAGACACACCATAAAGTCAGAACATCGTCTAAAGGATGTACATTCTAAAGGATCGTAATTGCACCTTTCCTCAAAGAAGGCAAAATTTGCAGAATTTCTTCCTTCCGGCAAGGAGTGAGGGAGTAACTGATTATTTAGTTATAGAAACAGGAACGTTTGTGGTTTTGGTGAAATGCTATGCATTTAACTTGCCATCACAAGCAGGAAAAATCTTACCTGTGCTGCCAAAGGCTAACTTCAAAAGCAGGTGACTGAATCACAGAACATCTCCAGAGTCAGTAGAGAAGTAAACCAACAGGACATACATCTCATGGCCACATGTAAGACCAAGAATAACCATTCCTGCTGCCAGTGTGGCAGGGGCAGGGCAGCTCAGGGTCCTCTATCAGTTCCTGAATTTTTTTGGAACACCTCTGAATCTCTGCTTGCTATCTCAAACCCAAAACCCTCCTACCCACATCCAACACTCTGCATTTGGCCTATGGAGCAAATTCATTCATCTCCACAAGGCAAATGGCATGAAGAAGGAAGAGAACTGCCTGTCAGTGTCCACTTGCAGGGGTAGGCAGGTGGGGGGTGGATTGTACATTAAAGAGGAAAACAAACCCTTCGCCTTCAGAATGTTTAAAGAAAAACGGAACTTGTTTCTATCTGGGACAGTTTGTGTAGAGGTGTTTCAAGTCAGGAAAGCTAAGGAGATCTGATTAAGGTTTCCTGTGCAATTCCTGGCACAGACCATGGCATATAGGAGGATCCCAGTAAATGATAGTAGAGTCCAAATCTCAATTGTTGAATCTCAGGGTGTTACTAGAAATCCCGTGAGCTAGAGACTTTCAGTAGGAGGAAGGCAGGGGGAAACATACAGAGGTAAAGAGAATTGGGCATGCTCTAGTCACTTGCATTTTTCGTGAAAATACAAATGAAAAGATCCAGCATTTCTCTGCCAGGAGAATCTGGCAGTGGCTCTGGGATATAGGGAGTAGGCTAGGACTTAGGCTACCTGGGGGCCTGGTCCTGAACTGCACAGCATCTCCCCAGACTTGTGCTCACTTAAACCCCAAGCTCGCAAAGCCACTCTCAACCACTTTCTTTCTTTTGCTGTGATTAAGGGTCTCCTTCTGCCACCTCCTCTCTTTCAGTCCCCTAGCTTGGCCCCCAAGGGCTTCCTGAGGCTTGTGACTCAGCAGCCAAAGTTCAAGTCCCCCAGGACTGACAAGTCAAGCTCAAGCAGCCTGCAGGGAAGGCACACTGATTCATCTGAGCCTGCTTACTGTCGTTCCTCAACCTTCTCTCACCCTCAGCCTGGCCACCAGGTACCTGTCATTCCAGACTATGGGGTGTCCCTCTGGAGTCGGAACCCCAGTGCCTCCCTGTATCAGAATGTTCCAGGCACACATACACCCTCCGCAGCATGCAGCATTTCTGCTCTGGACAGATGGGGGAGGAGGGCAACCTCCATCCCAGGTGGAACTCGACAGGTGTGTTCTCACCTTGAATTATCCCCTTTAGGGTTTGAGAAGTCAGGACCAGCATTAAGGCCCCCACTGGAAATGAATTGTTGGAGGTAAGGATGGAAGGAAGCTGGGTAGGCAGGCAGGCAGGAAAAGACTCCCTAACTTGGGGAAAATTGTGTGTCTGGGAGATATGAGGAGAGGGATGGTGCAGTAGATGAGGGCACCTGAGAACCAAAATCTAAGAACACGTGCTGGGCCTACTTTATTCCGAGATTCTTCAAGAGGGAGAATCAACCTCTCCAACATCCCTCACTGTACCACCCTCTGAAAGTCCTTCTTTAGGTCTCACCTCAGTCCCTTCTGCTGCAGTAATCAACCCATTGATCAAACATTGCCCGGGCCAGAGAGAGTGCAGGCGAGAGAGCAGCGCCCCCTACAACCCACGCAAGGCTGAGGTGCGCTCCACTCCCGCAAGGCTGGACACAATCCCCTCACACACACAATTCTCCCCTTGGCCCACTATCTTCCTTCTATTCCTCTGCGCCCCCCGCCCCCACCCCCCCCAACCCCCCGCGAGCGGCCCGGTTCCTAACCTAGGACCTTACCAACGGTTGTGACCTTTAACCTCAAGTGAAAAAACAGGGCCCTGGAACCTGCGGTCTCTGGGGAGCTTACCCCAGCTGTACCTGCTCCAGGAACCGCCGCTCCAGTCCCCGGCTTCTGATCCCTGGAGACGCGCGTGGAGAAGAAATTCCCGCCTCTCGTAGCCCCTTCCTCCCTTTCCCGCGCCGTTGGTGCGGAACCACAGGGGCGACCCTCGCCTTCCCCGAGGCCCAGCGCCACCGGGGTCAGGGTCGGGGGACGAGGAGGGGCGGTGTCTGCGGAGCCAAAGGAACCCCGGCGCCTTGGTCCCTGCAGGATCTCCCCACCCCCACGCCGCATCCTCTCGAGGCTTCGCACTGCCCCCCGCCCCTCCCCCCGGAGGGAAGGCGACCGGGTGCTCCCTCTCTCCCAGGACCCGCCAGACGTCGGCATCCTGACAAAGAAGCCGGGCTGCAGCGGGCGAGCGTGGCCGCACGGCGCTGGTGCGGCAAGTAAATACCCGGGCGGGCGGGCCGCCTACCCTCCCGCGGCTCCCGCCGCCAGGGCGCGACACGCCATTGCCGCTGTCGCGACTCCCGAGAGACGCCGCAGCTGCGCGCCGGGCCCGGGCCCTGCGGGGCTCGGGCTCCCGACTCACCGGCTCCGGCGAGCTCGCCTCGGCTCGGGCTCCCGCCTGGGCTCGGCGGCCGCCGGGGCTGCGTCCGGGGCACAGTCCGCGCCGTTCGGGCAGGAGGCGCCCGCTTGGCAAAGTCGGCGAGAGGCACCGGCTCAGTCGCGCACCGGCCCCGAGTCCGAGTGAGTCAGAGAGGGACCGAGGGAGCGAGTTATAGGGGCGGGCGTGGGGGGGGGATGCCGAGACACCCTCCCCCACCCCGCCCCCCGCCCCCCGCCCCCCGGCGGAGACGCAGAGAGCCACTCGCAGCCGGAGAGACGCTCGGACACAAAGACCTCGTGCCGCCCACAGACCCAAGTTTCTCCCCGAGACCAAGGGGCTCGGACCGCGTTCCCCGAGAGAACAAACGGACGCGCAGACCGACAGACGGACCTTGGGACCTCGACACCCCCAAGAAACGAGTTACTTCCTCCGCCGGGGTGTCCCTGGTCTCCTAGGTCGCTCCACAGACCCCTTCCCTGGCAGACTGCCCGCAGGGTGAGCGGAGAGACGCTAGGGAAACTGAGGCCCCCGTGGGGCGCTGCACCCCGGGAGCGCGGCTTTGCGCGAGATCCCCGAAGAGTCACACGGGAGGGGGCTCGGGGATTCTCTGCCTCCCAGGTTCCTTTCACGTCTCTCCGCTTGCCCTGCGGGCGATGGAACAGGGTACTGGCTGGGGCTGGTTCCGAACCCAGGATCCTGAGCTGGAGTTCTCTGTCTAGGTTCTGGGGCTCCCGGGGCCGGGGCTCTGGGAGGGAGGACGGCCAGGGCGAGAATCCAGGAAGAGAGGGGGCCTCGGGTTTCCCGTTACCTGAGTCGGCCGCGCTCGGACTCCTCTCTGGGGGCTGTAGCTCGAAGCTCCGACAAGTCTCCACGTCCAACCCGAGAGGGGGCGGCCGGGCCCGGCACAGCGAGGCCAGGAGCGCGAGCGCCGCCTGGCACCGAGGCCCCCCGGTCCCCCACACCCCACTCATGCCCGGGACACCCCGGCGCTTCAAGCAGCCGCCCGAACCCGTACCGCCGCCGGACTGGGGCGGGGCGAGGCGGCCCCAAGAAGACCCTCCCCGCAGCGGCCCCCTGCGGCTCCGTTCAGCTTTTAATCGCTTCCCCGCAGGGTCTCCGCCCCTCACGTGGCATCCCGCGGCAGCTGGCAAGTCTGGCGCCTCACGGCCGCCCCCTCTACACCCAGGGACAGGCCTGAGTCCCGGCGGGTTCGAGGCAGGGGAGCCCGGTTGTCCAGCACCCCGGACGGTGCAAGGCCCAGGAAAGGGCCTGGGATCTGACTCCACATTCACTGCCTGGTGTGACCTTGGGCCTCTCTGAGCCTCAATTCCCCACTCTGTAAAAGGGGTGTAATGATTACGAGTGCTTCACAGGTTGCCTGGGAATATAAAGATAGTGTTCGTGAAAACACTGGGTAAATTGCCACATTCCACACAAGTGGCAACGAAATAGATGAACCCATTACAGAAAGAAAGATGACCCGGCTGGGAGTGGGAGAATCTTGGCCGAGGTTCCTCACGGGGGAAGTTAGTCAGACTAGCCCCAAGTCCCAGCTTCGGAGGCAGAAGACCCTAAGACTGCGGGGCTATTTGAACTGCAGGAAGACTTTCTGAGCCCCGCAGTCCTGCGGTCCACGGTACCCGCATGTTGCTATGGCAACGGGAGGCAGCGGCCGTCTCTCTCCATGGCAACGAGAGGGGAAAGTTTCTGGCAAATAGGAATGAGGGGCATTTCAAGAGGGCGCTCCGTTCCCGCCAGACCCATCTCCCCACAGCGGTGCAACGCCACTGGAGATAATGCCTCTTGCTATTAAGCATAGCCAGGGCCAGAAAGCCTGAAAACTAAACGAGAGAACTGAGGCTAGACTTAAAGCAGACTTCCCCTCCAGGAACTGTGGCGTGAGGTCCAGGAACAGGTTGGCTGAGGCGCTCCGAGCACCTCACTCAGCCCTGGAGATCTACCGGTCGCCACCCGGCGCGGCCCTGCCGGGGGTCCTGTCACGGAAGTCGCACGTCCTCGGCTTGTCGCCTGGTGGGCCCCTTCCCGTGTGCGGCTCACCCGAAGCTCCAGGCTGAGGTCCCTTTGCCTCCCCCGAGCTGGGAAGGAAACTTTAGCTGGAGCCTCCGGAAGCCGCGGGGCTGGTGTGTACCCTGGTGGCGGGTGGGGGAGGAGGGTCTTTCCTCCTAATTATCACGTTAATTGGAGGTGGCTCGGGCGGTGACTCACGTTCCAGAGGGAGGAGATTCGGAGCCCCAGCTCCTGGCGGTTTCCAAATGCGCCATCTGCGCCAGCCGCGCTTGCTGGCCCTTGGACTGGAGAGACCCCCGGCAGCTAGTGCCTCGAGTACAGAAGGGCCGAGGCGAGGCCTCAGAGGACCCCGGCTTAACCAGAAGGTTTTTGCCCTTGGGAAGCGCTCCCTGGCTCTGTCCACGGTGCTGAAGGCCCATTGGCGCAATCGTAGCGTGGGCACGGGGTTAGGGAAGGTGGGGCGATGGGCAGTTGTGGCGGGTTCACAGCTTCCACCCTGACCTCCGGAGCCTGCGATGGGAGAAGGCTAGGAACTCAGGCTAGAGGGACTGAGCAAGCGTAATCCCGGCGGCACTATGCAATCCAGGCCGCCTTCCTGAGGGAGGTGCTCAAATGCTGTTCCAAGAACAGGTGAGGCTGTGGAGTTCCCATCCGCCTCCCAGTGCTTCTGGAACCCACCTGAGGAGCCCAGAAGCCCTGTCACTTCCTGCTCCCCCACCCAATGCAGAGCTCAGCACTGGGGAGGCCCCTTGTTACATGCTCATTAGCAGTTTCTGAGGCAGCAGGTTTGTGTTTATGTAAAATACAAATGGAGAAGAACTGCTCTCTGCCCATGTTTATGGCAACTCTGTTGCTCCGCTCCGCGGCAATTTCTCCCTCCCCCTCCCGAGTTCCTGGGGAAATTCGCAGAACAAAGCGCCTTGTTTTGCCTTTGCAGAGAATGAAAAAGCACAGGACCTTCCAAGGGCCCAGACCTGTGATGCAGGGAAATCAATATTTTGCTTTACAATGAGTGGGGGAATTTGCATCTAAACTGAAGGCAAAGGAGCCTGTTTGGAGCAGAGCAGGTGGCAGGAGCCGAGAATTAACAGATAATTTCTCATTGTTCCTGGATTCAGCCTCCACACTAGGCAAACGGTTCTGCAGTGTCTCTGGCGCCCCGGCAGCAGCTCTGGACCTGGCATTTCTCAACAGAACAGGGAGGAGTTTCTGCTCTGACAGGGCTGCGGCGGGAAGGGGCCAGGGCTCCCGGGTCAGTCAATAACTATTGAATTTCGAGTGTGTGAATGAGTGTGTATGAAAGAGACAGAGAGAAACAGAGACACAGATAGAGACAAGAGAAAGAGAGGCAGAGGATGAGACATATGGAGACAAATATAGGAGATACAGAAGAGATACAGAGAACAGGGAAAGAGGGGCAGAGGGACCCATACACATATAAAGGGACACTCATTCAGAGAGATAAAAGAGAAACATTTTTTTTCTTATATTGAGAAAAAGCCCCACCTTAGTTGTTTTCTTTGCCCTCTCTCCCTGCCCCCAGGTTAATGGTGATACCTGCAGATACTTGTGGTCACATAACCAGCCACAAACCAACCAACCAAACAAACAAAAAACATGTAAAGTTGGGAACTCTTCCTCTCTAAAACCCCTTTCCCTGACAAGCCCACTCCCATATGAAAAGACTAAATTCAGACTCCCAGGGTCCCACCCAGACCTGAAGAGGGAAGGAGGTAGAAAGAAGTAGAATTGTTGCCCCTCAATGCTATCTTCCAGAGAAAGACCATCTGAGATTCAATTTAGAGGTGGTGTGGAGAGAAGGAGGAGCAGAGACAGCATTGCATAGTGGCAAACAAGGGCACTAGGCTGAGCCCCAGGAGGCGGGGTTCCAGGACTGGTGCATCAAACCAGCCATGGGGCAATCATGTCCCTTGTCAGGGTGTCAGTGTCCTTATTTGTAAGATGATGAAGCCAGATGAGGAGCTCTTCAAGGCTCCTTCCAGCGACAACATTCTAGGATTTTACATGAAGGGAAAGGAGGGGGCTGAGTGGGGAAAGGAAAGAGGAGCAGAAGAGCAGTTTTTCTGGCTCTAGAGAAGAGGGTGTCCAGACTCACTTTGGGCTTCCCCTCCTCCAATGCTCTCATTTCATCTACAATTGTGGCTGGAGCCTCCTGAATCTGGGCCCCTAGTCCCCAGGTTAGACTGCTCAGAAGCAGGGAGGGGAACTGGAGGTGGGGTGGGAAGCAGAATGAGAGGAGATTTGAAGCAGAAACCGGAGCATCCCACTCCTATGCCCTCCTTTCCTCCGAAATAGCCAAAGTTCACATCCCCTGCCCCCACCCCAAATCTCTTAGGCAGTGGCCCGACTGCCCTTGGACAGGTCCCCCACTCTGCTCTGAGCAGCAATGGCCTGTTGAGTTATGCTACAAATAAAATAAATTAAAACAAAATAATAATTTCTAAAAAAAAAAAAAAGACTAAACCTTGGTAAGAAATTGCTAATGCTGTAGGCGAGAAGAATGAGCTCCTTTGACATGAGTCGATGTGTCATATTGTCTTTCCATCTCAATGCAATTTCTAAATAGGGAGCCCTTTCCCCATTCCCTCCTCCCCTCCAAGCCCCCAGCAGAGATGTAAAGGGAGCAGTCTGATGTACATAGCCGGGTTATTTGACATACAGGGAGAGACAGAGAGAAAAAGATACAAGCGTACTCATGGCTTTGTCAAGTATGGATTGGAGCCAAGAGGGCTCTGACCCAACTTTGAGGGCCCCCGATCTCCTCTCCCCACCTCCCCCATCTCCTGCTTAGTGAGGCATGTGGACACTTTGTTCAAGGGTTTTAAATTTACTCTAGGAAAACAGGTATCAGTTGAACCTGTTCCACTGCTGGTGGAGAATTAAGTAGATGTCTTGTATTAGGGAGGGGGAATGCTTTACACCATCATTTAAAACAAACACTGCTATGGAATCCCTATGGGGTTTCTGCCAGAAGAGCTTTATCAATATTTCCAGCAGATGTCACCCCCTGTCCCCCAACCCCCACACCAACATAGCAACTTTAGCCAAAGCTGGGTGACTTCTGCAAACCATGCCATTCCAAGCCATCATAAGAGTTTTCAGGAATTTTTCCTTGCTTGAAAAGATGCAGAAGACATTGCAAAGCCCTGCATCAATGCCCAGGTATTTTTGAGAGTCCAGTCTTGCTTTTATTCTAAGAAAGGTCTTTGACAATTCAAACCTCCTGAGCCAGGGGGTACATTTGTCTCTGTCTTATTCCTTCCTCATTTCAGAGGTCTCATCTCTGTTCTGTGCTCTCTGCTCAGGCATAGAGTTCCAGATCAGACTTGGGAAGACTGGACCGGGTTTGTTGTATCCAGCAGGCTGGGGACTGGGGAAACAGAGACAAGTTCAAGGTCAGAAGGCAACATCATCCCTGGAAGTTTTAGAGCTGTACCTAAGTACCTGTGGTGTGTGAGGGCTCTCTCTGTACTACTTGAGAAATGAGAATGATTGGAGAAGAAGAGCTAGGAAGGAAACCAAGGTTGCTCCTCTTCACACTGACCTCATACAGAAGAAAGAGCACAAGTTTTGGAGTCAGACAGACCTGTGTTCAAATCCTAGCTCTATCACTTACCAGATATATCACTTTAGGTGTCATACTTCAGCAGTCTGAACCTCAACTTCCTCATCTGTAGAATAGGACATATAAGGCCTGTTTTATAGTTACAAGGGCTTTATGCATAAGGTTAAGTATCTAATATACTGTGACTGATTCATTACAGGTGTTAAAACAAATGACAGTTCTTGTCCTCTCTCTCTGTCTCTCAGATCCTAGAGGGACATCCATGAGGCACACTGTCCAGAGCTTAACCCATATTCTTCCATTAGGCAAGTCCCTGAACATTGCCAAGAAGGATTTCTCTCTCTCTCTCTCTCTTTT